CTATTTTAATTCGTTTCTTTCTCATAAAGTTTCAAGTATTGGTGTGGCTTTTGAGTAGAGCCATCAAGTAATGCGGTCAGTTGCGAGTTCGAACCCTGCCAAAAGAACTTATTTTTTATTTATCTTTATTACTACTATAGAAAACGAGCGTGTAGCGCGTATTGTGTTTCTAAACCAATCTTTTCTGGAGTATATCTTATTGTGACATAGAATATTCGTACATTCGCGAAAGGACAACAGATGTTATCAATTAAATTTTGTGTGAAGTTGGCGGCGGGGCAGATGCGGTATCTAAGAAACTAAAAATTTGTATATGGTATACCAGAAGCTACATCCAAATTTGGTTTCTTAAAAAATGATAAAATAACATTTAAAACAATATATCGATGATCGGAAAAAATCCGGTTCTGAGAACGACGCTTTTGTACATACGGACATGGCTAAATCTACTTGACTATTGATATTGACTTAGAATATGTTTATATACATATGTATATACCAGCGGGTATAACCCGGCCTTGCCCGTGGCACGTATGTTATAAAATCAATGTTCTCAAACAAATTTGAAATAATTTTGAAACTGATCGGACGGTAAACAAATAACTTTCATACAAACGTTTTCCGCCAATTTACCACTGTTGCGAGTGGAATTTCCCAAATCGCTGAAGCACGTATTCATTACATTCTTATGTAGAGCTTTGAAAATAAGTTTGAAGCAAATCGGACACAATTTAAAACTTCGCACAAAAAATCTTTGAGTCGCATTCCACCCGAAAAAGTTTGGATTCTGCGAAAAGTGTGAAACACGTCTTAAATGATTTTTCTTATATATCTTTGGAAACGAATTTGAGCGCGAAGCGTCACCCACCAAATTTTTGACCTCCATTTCCACCAAGGAGGAACGGATTTTACGAAAAGTGTGAAACACCCCTCAAATGAATTTGAACAAAGATCTTTGAAAATAAGTTTGAGGCCGATCGGATGGTAAACAAAAAAGTTACATACAAACGTTTTTCGCGATTTTTCCACACTTACGGGTGGAATTTTCCGAAACCCCGTCTTAACGTGCACCTACATCACATAAGGTAGCTACAGTGAAAATTTTAGCTTCCTAGCTCTTACGGTTTGGGCTGTGCGTTGATCACCAATCAGTCAGTCAGTCAGTCAGTCAGGACAAACAGTTTTATATATAGAGATATATATATATAAGTATAAAGAATATCTTTATGGAATCAGAGACACTTCCTCCTGTCTGTTACATACAATTGTACAAATCCATTATAGCATATTTACCCATTTTTAATTGGTATAGAGTATAAAAACTTGGTAACTAGGAAACTTGATCACTTTTTCAACTTTTTTACAGTTTTTAGGTCTGATGAATTTTTAACCATTGTTGATTTATATCATCAAAATATATTATATGCTCGTTAGATCGTAGAGTAAATGGTCGGCATTGTGCGAACTGCTTATAATTGCTGTAATTAGTCCGCATACAATTACGCAAACATATTTAGTTCAATTTGTGTTGGTTAAAGCTAATTGAAGGCTGGCAGCATCAAGTGCCCCAAATGAAATCAGCAATTGTTATCATAAACAAATCTGTAAAAACAACAAATTTGTACATTACACATTAAAGTGGTGTTTCGAATTTAGAAAACATTTGTATGTAAAGCAACGGCAACGGCAACGGCAGTCTAGTGAAGAGGGCTCGAATAGCAGATACCTAACATCCTGGTCTAGGCCCTAACTGTTATGTGTACATATATAGAATAGTTCCAGGTAGTACCTCAAATGCCTTATCACGAAACCCATCAGTTTAAAGAAGGGAAGCCAGATATATGCTAATGTATGTACGAGGCAGAAGGAAGAATTTGTATGATTATTGTGAGTTTCATAGTTTTCTAGAGCATATCAGTCTGGCTGCAGACTATGTTCCATTCGATCACTTTCGACAGCTGTTCTTCGGGTTCCTCAGATCTGTCGTAAGTTGATCGAAGTCGATACTCAATTGTTTGTATTTTTCCATTTCAGATTTCTAAGAAACTTTATTTAGAATCAACAAAACATCCCATACATATGTTTTAAATATTTCCACTCACCATACAACATATAGATGGGACAGTTAGAAAAAGTCATTTATTGGCAACCAACAGGCACACAAACGCATAAATGCTTCTGTCCATATACAAAATTATGCAAGTGTGCGCCCGAAAAGTTTCCATGTACACATGCCAACGCTTAAGTACCCTTACCGACAATAAAGAGCTAAAATGCAAGAATTTCGCATCGACGTGGCAAACCCTTTTATTATTTCATATTACTTGCCCCTTCAAAAGGTAAGAAATGCCTCCGCACTGAGAGTAAGTTAAAGCATTTTCCTGTAGTGTGAGCGAAATAAAAAACAGCGATGCCGTTCTATCACAGAAATCATATGGATTTTTTACTCTCTTGCTCTCTGAGCAAGTGAAAGAGTCTCGGACCCAACCAAAAACGAAATCGACTTTGGACCTGAACTCTAAAAAATGAAAGGCTACACATTTTTCTTATAGCTAATAGATGGGACTATATGTTGTATGGTTAGTGGTATTATGTATTAAACCATAATTACACCACACTGTTGATTAATTGCATAAAGAAATTTTTACAATGCGTTCAAATCAAAGGTCCAGCACTTTTAAAGTGATAATTGAACCGACTGTTATTAAAAAATCTCGTGCATGTACTCGGGACATACATATGTAAGTACAAATAAAACTTTGTATGTAACTAAGACCGGAGACAATGACATACAAAATAGTTTTTCAATGAATACTAGCTAAAAGCGAAGCACGCAATAAACAGCGAAATAGGAAATGACACATAGTAAAAAGCAAATATGATTATAAATTAGTCAAACTCGCTTTAATGAAACCACGAAAAACTAATTATCACTTGGAGTTATTGCTAAATGAATGACATATGGATCGCAGGGAAACACTTTATTTAGGCACAACAAGTAAGCACGTTGTCAGGTACAAGCAACGCTGTTCAATATTAAAAAATATATTTATTGACATCTTTATTAAAAGCCAAATGTACATTCATCTATCAATAAAAAGCTGATTGTCCTTACAGTTAGTGAGGAACATATATATGTACAACTTATGTACATACATATGTACAACTTATGTACATACATTTGTACAACTTATGTACATACATATGTACAACTTATGTACATACATTTGTACAACTTATGTACATACATATGTACAACTTATGTACATACATGTGTACAACTTATGTACATACATATGTACCTTATGTAAAGTATGTTGTTTGGAAAATTTTTACCGCAAGTGTGGAATACGTTTCTATACTTCTTCTTCGATTATAATTCTACCGGCTTAATAATTGGTCTTGATGATCTTTGCCAAATGTTATTTAAGACACGCGTTGCTGTAAATCCACCCATCTATTTGGAGGGGCTTAGGGAAGTACGGCTGAAATTTTTTCATTGATGGTGACAATGCCCTTCAGTTCTTCTATGTACAATTATATATATATACAATTAAATATATACATATATATCTAAGTATATATATACTAGCGGGTATTGCCCGGCCTTGCCCGTGGAACGTTTTGTGCTTAAGATTTTAGATATTTACCTTTCCACTTAGTACACGCCCGCGGAAAATTGAAATCTAACCGTACCATCTTGATCTCCACTTCTATTAAAAGTAAGTTTAAAGTGCATCAAATAAAGAACCAATTGCTGGAATCAGAGGTTTCCGCCCTTATTAGTCTTGTGATAAGAATCTTGAGGCCAAATAAAAAACTTGCGTTTACAGACCCGCATTTTCCATCCAATAGCGGTGAACTTTGCGAAGGCGTGTCAAATAAGTTCCGATAAAGATATTTGAAATTGATTTTGAAACCGATAAGTTAAGTTTGAAACGTAACGTGAAACACGTCTCAAACGATTCTTCTAATAGATATTTGGAAATTTGAACACGAAACGTCACCCACCAAATCTTTGACCCCCATTTCCACCAAACGAGAATGCATTTTTCGAAAAGTATGAAACCCCCCTCAAATGAATTTGAACAAATTTCATTGAAAATGAGTTTGAGGCCGATCGTATGGTATGGTATATGTATGGTAAACAAAAAGTTTCATACAAACGTTTTTCGCGAGTTTTCCTCACTTACGGGTTGGATTTCCAGAAACCCCGTCTTAACGTGCACCTTTATCACATAAGGTAACTACAATGAAAATTTCAGCCTTCAAGCTCTTACGGTTTGGGCTGTGCGTTGATCACCAATCAGTCAGCCAGTCAGTCAGTCAGGACAAACAGTTTTATATATAAAGACTAGCAGGACAATAGTTTTATATATAGAGATAATTTACAAATATAAGTACCTACAAATACTAAAGGGTATTGTAACATATATATACATATTTATAAAACTGTTTGTTCTACCTGACTAAATGTCTGTGAACCAAAAATCAAGACTGTACTCCTCCGAATGCGTTGATTAAAGATTGGTGAGATATATGTACATTCCAGAACTAACATATCAGATTTGTTGCCACGTTGTCATAGGACCTAGCAATGAAAGCAATCATAGCCCGTTTCATGGAATCATGAACTTGTTTATTATTTTAATTAAACTTACTGTCCGTATTATATACCAAAATATTGGGATACTTTGAACTGTAAAGCACTTATAATGCTTTTATCAACGCATTCCGTCAAACATATGGACGGACAGACATAGAGACATGGCTAGATCGAATCGGTTGGTGATCCTAGTTATATATACATATATATTGATTGCATTGGTTTGTCCTTATGCTATACTTCTGATACGACTGCAAAACCGCATCTAATGAGGAACAATCGGTCGGAAATAAAGCGTTTGTAGAATAGCAGTTCATTTCTTGTGTAGCTGTCAATCTAAAATTAGCAACTCAGAGAGTACGCATTTCATTTCACACTGGCACGACACAGTAAATTTGCTTAAATTGATGTATTTGTTGGGCAAAAATATAAAAATGAAAAAGAATGCCAAAAAAAAAGTAAGCCAAAAAAACGTAAGTCCTGTAAATGTGGGAAATGCGTTTCAAAATATTTATCCAGCTAAAAAATAAAAAGGATAGTTAAATTTTAGAGTCAAGGAACTTGCTATTTTACAAATAAAACTCACCAATGGGTTGGGGACTGCTCGCAATATCAGCTGGATAAGATGGAGCAATAGGAGCTAGAGGCACACGCTCTGTGGGCGCATCGGGGATTCCAGTGATCGGGGACTTTGGTGTGGAGACGTCGTCGGTGAGGCGATGTTTTAGCTCGTCATATTTCTGCGCAACAGAGCTAGAAAAATCCTTGGCACCTTCACCAATCTTTTCAGCATAGGGCCTAGCCGCATCGGCGACCTCCCCAGCACCCTGTTTCACCTTGCAGCCAAAGGTCTTAAAAAAGTTTTTAAAATCGCTGTCGTCTGGATTCTTGACCTCGTCGCAGTCGGTGGCGCGGGACTGACCACTCAACAGCACCAGACCCAGTAGCGAGCAACATATGATAATAGCTTTCATGTTGCTGATATTTTGCTTTAACTATTCACTTAGAGCTTGTCAATGCGACTGAACGAAGCAAATTGACTCACAGTCGCACAATGCCAGAACCTCCGAAGCTTAGATTAGTGAGCCATACCGGTTTACTAGCGCTTCGTCGCGCTGATCTGCACCTGCCCCGCTCTCTGTCGCATCTTCATTCATTCACGAATAAATAAAACTGACAGCGTAAAACAAAAAAAACTTTATTTACTTTCAATGCGAGCTAGAGCTTATCTTTTATATAAGTTCAAAAATCTATTCCATAACAAGTATATAGGGTCGGCTACTGATGCTTATCAAGACTTTATTTTTTCAAAACATACAGTAAATTAAATAAAATGAGTACTCTTAATTCAGATTTTTTCGATTTACTTTAATTTAAATGAATAGAAAATGCATCTCTTTTGATTTTTGTAATGGGCCCAATTTTAATGCGTAGCGTTAACCGAGTGCGTAGTGTACAGACAGACGAACGTGTGTCAATCGTCTCGGCTGTATATGCTTATCAAGAATATATATACCTTATGGGGTTAGAGATACCTCCTTCTACCTGCTACACACATTTTAACTAAAACATTATACCCCTTATACTTATTTTTAATGTGAAAAGGGTATACAAACAAAAAAGTTATTAAAGAATGGCTTGCACATTAAACTACAAAGCTAAAAGCTTGCGGCGTATATGATCCCTGTGTTTATTAAGGTAAACATTTTTATGAATTTATTTATATGGCAAGTTCGAATGCTTGCTACGACAGCTTGCACTGAGTACGCGGTATCTCTATGTCGATGATTCGATAAGAGCTCTCTTTTAGTTTTATTTCACATTTGTAAAAATTATTGTTTTCAGTTTGTGATTCATACTCTATGGCATCTAAGACTACAATTACATTGCATCATCGTAATCTAATGCTAGATAAATAATTATAAATTCGCTGGCAAGCTTACTTAAGCGGTTCTATATTAGTTATCTCATTCTCTTCCTCATTGGGAGCGAGGCTACTTAATGGCGGCTCTTCGGAATGCGTCACCTGCACAAGCTCTACATTTATCGGCGCGTTGGGGTCTGTGTTTTCACTCGGCGTCATCGGGGTCGTGGCTTGCGTGGCATCAGCTCCTGCACTTGGAGGCCTGTTCGCAACAGTGCCAAGCAGCGTTTCTATAAGATTACCAAATCGGTGCACAATGCTCAAGCCAACGCGCTTGGCGGTTTCTTCTAGGCGCTTTGCCTCTGTCTCCAAATCTTCGATCCAGGGCTTAGCTTTCTCCAGTGTACACTGCACATTATGCAAAAACTGATTTACCTCGCTGGGCCTGGGCGTCGCCCCACTGTCCTCACTTGCCTTGACACTTCCCTGGACATCCGTTCCACAGATGATGGGTGCCGCTTGCAATTTTCCAATGCATAGCAAAAGCATTGGTAGCAGTATATGAGCCATCATCATATCCGCCCCTTAGTTTATGTTATGGTCCCAAAAAATGGCCTATTGTGTTTTTCTTTACCTAAGTCTTTACTTTTATAGTTTCGTTTGCTGAAGACATTAAATAGGCGTGTACAGCAACTGAGGCTGAAAACCTGACTGAAACAAGTTTGCTGACAACTGCAAAGGCATGAACGCTCCACCAAGCTTGGATTTCAACTGCAGATGGGTTACAGAGCGCTCGGCAACGAGCTCTTTAAGAAAGTCGTCAAGCGAGTAAACCGCCAACAAAACCTATTCCCCAATCAAAACAAATAAGAACGTAAAGGACGGGTGCGGGCGACAGTTCATTACTCTGTTCAAGTTGTAAAAAACTGCCCTAAGAGCATTCTTGATTAAAAGGTTGGCGATCCTAACGATTCTAGCTCCCTCTAAAGTTTTAACTTTACCACATCTAAGAATCACAGTCGTAATAAATTTTTTGTTTTACTTTAAATAAATAAAACAATGCAATTTATGAGTCGTAACTTATTTCCATATCTATTTTCAGTGATCTTTAGAAAAGTTTATAGTACTTTGCTTGCCAAATTGCTTGACTACTTTAAAGCTGTAGGAGATATTTTTTTTTGTGCCTGACTGTTTCTATTTTCTAACTTTAAAGCTGGCGGATATTTGGTTCTTGCGGACGGACGTCTATTGTACTGAACCAAAATACCCGTTTTAACTTTATGAAAAGGGTATTCAAAAGGAAGGGAACAATGCACTTAAGACACTCTAATTAAGTTTTTACTAAGTTGACCTCATTATCAACGATTGGACCGACAAAAAGTTCTGACAAATAATAGATCGACAAGCAGCCGCAAATGATATATCAGCGATCATCTTAATTAAAGCATATGTAAATAGAATACGTAAGCAAATCGAATGGTGCATGCAACATGAAATCTACCTATTATACATGCAAATTTTAAGTTTTAAGGCAATCGAATAAACAATCAAGCGTAGCAAATAAATTTTCACATAGATCTTTGAAAAAGAGTTTGAAACCGAAACCGAACCATACTTGCGAAGGGAATTTCCCAAATCCGTTCTAGCGTAAGCTTCCATTACAAATTTCAGCTTCCCAGCCCTTACGGTTTGTGGTGTGCATTGATAATCAAACACAGCCCTTTAAAATTATAGGATAGACTGTTGTCGGCACCAGTCCGGTCGGCTACCAGCGAAATATATTAAGAACAATGGTCATTCCGGATCCAGAACTGTGGAATATATCAGTTTTCCCGGTTTTCCATGCCTCAATATTAACTTTTGCAATTTAAATAAAATTTAGGGTACATTTGAAATTGCTGTTGTTTAAATAGCAGTTTGTTTTATTTACATAGCAGATAAGCAAAATAATAAAAAAAAAAAAATGATTTGAATTTAAACTCAGCCCCATTACTTCCTTAATTTGCTGCAGTTGCCCAAGGCATCCAGAATGTGCCCGTGTCCGCACTGTTGCTCACCCTTGAGAATGTCTGGATTGATGATCTCGACGTTGGCCAGAAAGTCGCGATCTTTGCTCATCTCCTCAGCGGAATCTTTGGCGAGCTTTTCGCGAAAATCACCGAATCGCTCCTTAATATCGGTGCCCAGATCCTTTGCACGCTCTCCGAGTTTCTTGGCACCCTCCTTAATTTCAGTTCCTAGGTCCTTTGCCTTCTCCCCAAGCTTTTTTGCCCCATTCTTTATCTGGCATCCTACGTTCTTAAAGAAGTCGCTTACTTCGCGCTCGGAACTGCTGCTACTGCCAGTTATCTCCGACATTTTTTCGCCCATCTCAGTGAGCACAGCAGGCACTTTCTCCTCACAGTCAAGCAGATCTGCATGACTATAGGAAAGTCCAAGCAATAGCACTGACAATAACCAAATTCCACGTATCTGTCGCATGCTTATTTACGTATATTATGTAGGTATGTATTTATGTAGAATATATAAGACTCTATATTCCAGTTGATGCTCTTGTCAATTAGTTCCTGTGGCGCCGGTAAGATAGTTGGCTTCCAAACTGAACCTGAACGTAGACTTCGGTTGACTGGCTGCGAGCGAGGACTGTCCAAGCGTTTTATTCACCCCCTTGTAACAGCGATAGGTACACTAACAACAACAGCCATAAAGGCCACAATAACAACAACAGCAACCTAATAACAAGGCAGCCCCGTTATTTTTTCAAAAATTGTCGCCTTTTGTTTGATTGTTGATGCCTTCGCCTTTCAGCTTTATTCAATTTATGGGCTGACGCCAAGTCGATCTCAATGCTGACGCAGTCGCTTATTCGCTTTTCTTAATACATAAGTGCAAATTCAATTACGGTTTCAACAACAACAACAGCAGCAACAACCGTAATAACGACAATGACGAGAACTTCCCACTTTGCCGTTGATTCCGAGCTGCGCTTTTGCGCTAATTCCAAGTTTCCAAATACATATGCATAGGCATAGCGAATACCCAGTGTATTGGTTGCCTTGGATTTGACTATTGTTTTAGTGCTAGTCGGGGCTGTTATGCTTGATAAGGCAGTGATACAGACCTATTTTATTTATTGAGAGCATCTTAAATTCGTTCACTATATGTATATGTATGTATGTACATACATGCATACCTATGTTTGTGTGAACATAGCTAAACCACTGGCAAAATCCCTATCTCTATATACTTCATAATCTGAGCATAGCCGCTAAATTAAGTCGGATTTGTTTTTTTAAATACTTAAGCTCGTTAAAATAACAGGAACAATCTATGGTCTACAAACAAATATTAAATTATTCACCCTCTCGTTTTAAATTGGATTTACTTGCCAGTTCTCAGTAAGCAATACGCATCGACTCTACGATGTTTGAACATTGAAGTAACAAGAATGAATGAACGTAAAGCAAACATTTTTAACATTAAAACAATATAATTTTCAAGTTTATTCAAACAATCACTTTCGTTATATCCATTCTAAACATTGAATTACATGGTTGTTATATATTATACATTAAGATTACATATTTAAACTGTGAAATGTCTATAATAAACAGACTATAAACATGGTTGTTATTGAAAAATGAATTCCCCTCAGAAAGGGTTGGGAGAAAAAGAAGCGCAGACACAGCATAAGTTAAGCAGTTTTCAATATAAATATACATTCAAGATATATAGGATCCCAAGATTTGACAGTTAAACTTTCAAATTATATATTTCCCAATTGACTTGCGGTGACAGTATTAGAAGGCAATAGGATGTGATTACACTGACAGGCATTCGATTGTACGTTTTTTTTTCTGCTAAGGAAGATGTTTACTTAGAAAATTTTTTGAAGAAAAAGTAATTTCTTCAATTTTTAATTTGTATTTATTTATAAAATACTAGCGGGTATAACCCGGCCTTACCCGTGGCACGTATGTTATAAAATCAATGTTTTCAAAATGCTTTGAAAATTATTTTAAAACTGATCGGACGGGAATCAAACAACTTTTATGCAAATCGGACAAAACTTAAAATTCATCAAAAAAATCTTTGAAATGCATTTTCCAATTTCCAATGGATTTTTCAAAAAGTGTTAAACACCCCTCAAATGAATTTGAACATAGGGGCCGGTAAACAAAAATCTTTCATAAAACCGTTTTCCGCCAATTTACCACTGTTGCGGGTGGAATTTCCCAAATCGCTGAAATACGTATTCATTAAGTTCTTATGTAGAGCTTTGAAAAAAAAGTTTGAAGCAAATCGGACAAAACTTAAAACTTCGCCCAAAAAATCTTTAAATCGCATTCCCCCCGAAGAAGTTTGAATTCTGCGAAAAGTGAGAAACACGTCTCTAATGATTTTTCTTATAGATCTTTGGAAATTAATTTAAGCGCGAAACGTCACCCACCAAATCTTTGACCTCTATTTCCACCAAGGAGGAATGGATTTTCCTAAAAGTGTGAAACACCCCTCAAATGAATTGAATGAATGAACAAAGATCTTTGAAAATAAGCTTGGGGCCGATCGGATCGTAAACAAAAAACTTTCATACAACCGTTTTCCGTCAATTTACCACTCTTGCGGGTGAAATTTCCCAAATCGCTGAAATGCGTATTCATTAAGTTCTTATGTAGAGCTTTGAAAATAAGTTTTAAGCAAATCGGACACAACTTAAAACTTCACCCAAAAAATCTTTAAATCGCATTCCCCCCGCAAAGGTTGAATTCTGCGAAATGAATTTGAGCGCGAAACGTCACCCACCAAATCTTTGACCTCCATTTCCACCAAGGAGGAATGGATTTTCCTAAAAGTGTGCAAACACCCTCAAATGAATTTGAACAAAGATCTTTGGAAAAAAGTTTGAGGCCGATCGGATGGTAAACAAAAAAGTTACATACAAACATTTTTCGCGATTTTTCCACACTTGCGGGTGGAATTTCCCAAAACCCCGTCTTAACGTGCACCTACATCACATAAGGTAACTACAGTGAAAATTTCAGCTTCCTAGCTCTTACGGTTTGGGCTGTGCGTTGATCACCAATCAGTCAGTCAGTCAGCCAGTCAGTCAGGACAAACAGCTTTATATATAGAGATGGTAAGTTACATTGAATGTAAGTGAAAACTAAGAGTTCAATCAGGAATACTTTTATTCGCAGTACTTAGGTACCATAAGTGATGGAAGTACACGCTAAGACAAGGTTTCAGGAGTATGGACAATCGCGAAAAAAGTTGTATACAACCATCAGCTTTATAAGGTACTAGCGGGTATAGCCCGGCCTTGCCCATGGCACGTAGGTTATAAAATCAATGTTTTCAAAAAGCTTTGAAAATGATTTTGAAACTAATCGGACGGGAATCAAGCAAACTTAAAATTCACCAAAAAAAACTTAGAAATGCATTTTCCGCCGAAGGAGTTTAGATTTTGCGAAAAATGTGAAACACGTCTCAAATGATTTTTCTTATAGATCTTTTGAAATAAATTTGAGCACAAAACGTCATCCACCAAATCTTCGACCCCCATTTGCACCAAGGAGGAACGGATTTTTCCGCCAATTTACCACTCTTGCGGGTGGAATTTCCCAAAACCCCGTCTTAACGTGCACCTACATTACATAAGGTAACTACAGTGAAAATTTCAGCTTCCTAGCTCGTACGGTTTGGGCTGTACATTGATCACCAATCAGTCAGTCAGTCAGTCAGTCAGGACAAACAGTTTTATATATAGAGATATATATATTTTATATGAACGTTAACAGCCGAGTTGATATAGCCAGCCATGTCTGTATGTCTATTTCTTTACAAACAAGTCTCTCTGTTTTGAAGCCATCGTCTTGAAAATTTGTAGAGGGCCGTCTTTCGGAACCGGCCGTGTCGGAACCGGCCGGGTCGGTAAAAATTAAGATCTTGTATGGCAGACTTGTTTGCATCTGATAAGATATTTATATACAAGATATTTTTACCAATTTTTAGCTTCACTATTCTCCTCACGTACCAGCAAAGCCGTAAGCTATATGTCTACAAGTGTATTTAATCTAAGGCGTATCGAAAATAGCCGTTCTTACCTGTTTATCAATATTTCGATTCATTAGTATACCCTTGTAGAAAAAATACAATTTTCTCATTGAATCTGTAGCGCGTATTCGTTTTGAAGATATCTCCATAATGCTTATATATATCAGTATCAGTATCGCTATCTCCATGTCCGCTGTCTACTGTCTGTCTGACCGTCTATCCGTTACCATTCAAATAAGTCTCTCAGTTTTAAAGCTATCGGCATGCAATTTTGCAGAGATTCGTTTTTCTGTTGCCGCCAGAGCATATGCCGAATCCTGCCGGATCTAAGCAAAATATATACATAGCTGTCATAAGTCATTAAGTTTGTGTATGAAAAACGTTTTATGCCCTGAACCCATTAAAAAAGGATAAAAACGGTATAATGCACTTGTGAAAATTTATGTAACAGGCAGAAGGAAGCATCTCCGACCCAATAAAGTATAAATATAAATATAAGAGCTAGAGACTTGAAATTTTAGCTGGTCCTCCTAGTGCACGCTCAGATCGAATTTGTTTCCAATCTTCGATAGCTTGCCCCGTTTCCAAGTAATCGATAAGAAATCGGTATCGAAATCCTATTTTTTGAGCAAGTTGTGTAAATAATAAGAGCTAGAGTCACCAAATTTTATATGTTGCTTCTAGAATAGTATATATATATATCAGTATCTTTCATTTTATACCCATCACCACCTCCCCGCTACCACCGTAAAGCTCTTAATCAAGTAAATAAACCAATTTACATATGCTGCCCACCAATATAAGCCACAATTTAAACTGTGAGAATACACGAATATTTTAAAGTACAATAAGATCTACTGATGAAAATTACATCAAGATCGGGCAAGAAACACAAAAGAAAATGTTTTTCGGCTGCCTACGTGTTTGCGGTAGCTAGCGCAAATTGCAAGAATTTCTGTATACACACATTCGTGCGCGTCTTCTTTAAATTCTATTAACAGCATTGCAATTGCGATTGTTGTGTTTTCTGTGCTCCTATTTTAATTTGTGTTTTTTTTTTCGCATTAATTATCATTAATTGGTGTGGCTGTTGGGTAGACGCGGCGGCAGAAAGTACGGTCTGCTGCGAGTTCGAGACCTACCGAGGGAAATTTTATATTTTTTTTGGCTTGTGTGGCTGTTGAGTAGAGGCGGCGGCAAGTAGTGCGGTTAGTTGCGAGTTCGAACCCTGCCAAGGAAACGTTTTTTTTTTAATTTATCTTTATTACTAAAGCAAACAAGCGGGAGCTCCCGACTAGAACCTCTTACTTTTTTAAATTTATTTTTATTCGTGCCAAAGCAAACGAGCGCGAGCTGCATTGGGTGCTGGTAGTAGTATTCTGGATATCCCCTGGTCGGACAAACCAGACTAGAACCTTTTGGTAAAACTATCAAATGTTATTATAAAAGGAAAACTGTCAATGATACCACCAAATGTGACATACTAAAGCACATACTCATCATATAGATTCAGAGTAGTAATGTTAAGAAAAAGTTAAAAATCTTTTAAGCAAATTACCATTATATCATACAGATATATCAAAAAGTTTGAGCCGATCGGATGGTAAACAGAAAAAGTTCATACAAAACCTTGACTTAGCGTGCCACCTCACAAAAGGTAACTAGAGTTCAAATTTCAGCCTCCTCGCCTTTACAGTTTGAGATGTGCGTCGATTACCAATCAGTCAATCAGTCAGGACAAACAAACATTGGTAAAAAAAGGTAAAAGTACAACCTTTTTACCCATTTTCAATGGGTTCAGGGTTTTTGCCGGTTGGTAAAGCTACTAATCTAGAAAAACAAAAAGATTTTCAGACAAGAACCTATTTTTTGATCGATTGTGCCTGTGGAAATATGTGATATAGTAGTCCTATGTTGATAAACAGCATAATTAAACTTATATCGAATTTGGTCAGATATATTGAAACAACAATATTTTTTACAAGATAACTTAATTTTCAACTGATCGTTCCTATAGCAACCTTATAGTATTCGATGTTGATGACATTTTACTTATATGTAAGGCTCAAAGTGAAAGTAATAAATGCAGAGTTTGGTCAAGATATCTTAAAGCAAAAGTTTTTTCGTAGAACAACCTAAATTTCGTTTGATTCCTCCTATGACAGCTGCATGGTACAGCTTTCCGATCTTGCCGGTTTCGTCATATAAACTGAAGAAGAAGAATACACATTCTTAAGAACATTTTTTTTATATGCGTTCCATGCCATAGCCGGCTAAAAGCACCGTAACGTTGGTCGTCCGGTTATGGAAGCTTTTATTGATCTCATTGAAGGTGAATTTTAGCTTATAAAAGAGCGAGAAACTGCTCGGGTAATTTTCATACATACATTTATTCATTTAATCTTGACTGAAGGTTTGAACTTTAAATGGGAACTGGTAAGCGTATTCTGTTTGGGCCAATTGAGAATAGTTTTATTTGGTCAAATCGTTGCCGCCGATGCTGCCACCAAGATTAAAGTAATCTGCAGCATCTGGGTTCTTCTCGGCATCTGTGCTGCCAGCAATGTCCTCGTTGTCTTCCTCATCGTCCCCCTCAAAATCGTAAGTGTCATCGAACCCCAGCGCATAATCCTTTTCCTCTGCGGGCACAGTTGTTGATTCAGGTAATTCCTGAGGCAACTCTGGCAAAAAGGGCAGTTCAGTGCTGGAAGTGGCAATAGTACTGGTGGTGCCAATAGTAGTTGTGGCTTCTGTTGTAGTTGTTGTTGGTGGGCTGTTGCTGCCCGTGAAAATATTTGGTTTACTAGAAAATTTAGTGCCTGCAATAAAAATGAAATGAAAGCAGTTAAATGACGGAATGCCCAATACTTCATTCTTCAATACTTACACTCAGGCAATGTAGGCTCAAAGTCGCATCTTATGCGTAGGTCCATATCCTTGTCAGTTAGCCGTCTGACATCCTTTGGCCGTGGCGTGGGGCGACGCACAAAGTAAACTTCGCGCACCTCATATATTTCCAGTTCGGGATGGTTTGGAGATGGACGGCGACGAAGGAAACGCTTGTAGTGGACAGGATTAGCAGGTACGTCGGCCGGATATGGCGCCGATTCCACTAACACGCCACAGATGCAGAGCATTGCCGCGAGCATTATACTCAAGACATTTAATAGTTTTTCCATCGCTGCGCTATGTAAAAGACTGATTTGTGCTTCCTGATCGCCGCTTTAGCATGCTGGGTACTGATTATCACAATTTACGCAGTCCAATGCATGATAGCCTATTGACCTAGCTTGTCTGCAGATGAACTAGCCATATTGAAGGCACTGCATACTTTAGGGCAGCCACTGCTAATTATACTACGTGACAGCAAAAAAGCGGTAATACTCAATTATTTTGTGGCCACTAAATGATAAAAAAGTATATTTATATAGACTTTACCCATAGAAATTGGGTAAAAAAAGGGTATATTCATTATGGGCAAATTTTTTTCACAGGTAAAGGGAGGCATATCCGACCGCATAAAATAAATATATTATTAATCAGCATCAATAGCCGAGTCGATCTAGCCATGTCCGTCTGTCTGTTCGCCCATCCGTATGTGTGAACGCAAAGATTTCAGAACCTATAAGAGCTAGGGACTTGAGAGTTTTGAACGTAGGTCCTCTAAGTGACCGGGCAGTTCGAGTTCGTTTCCGATAATCGATATCATGCCCCTTATCTAAGCTAACGATAAGACTCGATATCGCAGTCCTGCTTTTGAGCAAATCAAAAGAATAGTATATACAGATCAAGTATGTTTCATTATATAGCTATCGCCGGACCCTGCCTCCGACTCATACCTATAAACCAAATAAATAATTCAATTGGAACTACCCACCAAATTGCAAATTGCAAGTAATGTTGTATATACATTTATATACACTCACTGTCATGCGTGTCTTTATTTAATTTTATAAAAAACATTGTAATTGCGATTGTATTGTATTGCTGTGTGTATTCTATTTTAATTAAATTTTTTCTTTCGTTGAAAATTGAAGTTGGCTGCTAAATCGGTTGTTTACGGTCGAGTCCAATGGAGGCAATTTTTATTTTATTCCAATTTATTTTCATTACTGCCAAAGCAAGCGAGTTCGTGGCGCGAGTAGCATTCGTGGTTGGAGAAGGGAGTTCAGGGTATCCCCTAGTCAGAAACTCCCGGCGGGAGCCTTTTACTTTTTTTTTTATTTCTTAACCTTTATTAAAAGAATACCGAAATCCCTATAATATAATAATGTAGAATCTAGCCTCTGTCCTGTAGTTGTGCTGGTGTTAACCAGCGAGTCTTACGATCAGATGCACCAACTTTCGTTAGGTAATTCGACACCGAATGGTAACGCGATGGGTCGGAGCACAAGATTACTTCTAACGATCTTATGTATTGCAGGTCTTTAGGCACTTCGTTACCAAACGGCAATGCAATGACGATCGATTAAAACGAAAATGGAAGAGTTTTTGTTGATTGCATGGTCAAATTTTGATACTGGAGTGGGCGTGGTATAAATATTTAAAGAAGATCAACTGCTATATATTTACCATACTGATATATTATCTCTTGCTCTAAAACTGTACATAATATAACATTTCGAAATGTTACTGGTATTTGGTAGACGCAACCAACGAATGAAAACACTTTGATGTACATACATACATACGTATGTATATAGTCTATACTTAAATTTTAGATACTCTAGCTTCCAAAGTGTTGAAAATAAAATGTTTTCACATGGACTGGCAGCAGGATGGACAATGTAAGCTTTTTCGCTTTATTAACAGAATATCAAAAGCTTTTCGTAGAAAACAGCTTCCCCAAGTTGCCAGCGTGAGAGCGTGATATACATACATATGTACATATGTATGTAAAGATGCTGCAGCATTAATGGTACATGTTTGCGGTTGTTTTGGCCCCATTTCGAGCACAACGCCGAACAGTTGTTGACGGCCTTCGCTGGCGGGCAGACGCGCGTAAGTAGCTAAGCAGCTGATCGCACAGAATTGAAAGAGTAGACAACATAGAGAGCGCGACAGCACTAGAAAAAGCGATTGACAGTCTGAGAGCGTGAGCGCACGAAACGGTAGCTAAGAGTGTACATTAGAGCGAGACGGTGAGATCTGGCATTGTGAAAAATATTTATGCACAAATTAAATGAAACTGAAGGTGCATAAAATAATTGTTGTGTCGCCATTGTTGTTGTTATTGTGTAAAGTGGCAGAAAATGCTCACTAAAAATATACGCCAAGACTAAAAGCAAAAAAATGAAAGCACCCAAAAACGCTACGCGTGGGTAGAAGAAAAACGGCTTTGACGGTATACATATAAATTGTACGTACATATTAATGGAAGCATATGAACGAACAAACATAAACATACATATATAGATATATAATGCATATAGTATAATTGCTAGCATAGTTGAGATAAACAATAAATTGGCTGTGCGCCAGGACGCAGGGAGAGCAGGAAATCGAAGACAGAGCACGCTGATATTGCTGGTTCAGCCTCGCCAACAGACAGCAAACAGGTGGAAGCATCAACAAGATCATCTAATGTGCAGTAGCTGTCACCGGTGCTTTAACCAAGAGCAATGTCAAAGCAGCCACATCAGCAACAGCATTCGGAATCCACATCCGATTATGAGGAGCAAGAGCGGTACGATCCTCTGACAAATCTGCTACGCTTGCAACTCCGAAAGCCAAAACACTGGAACTGGGAGTTGAGCACTTCGCGTAGCTGCAATAATATTGCATTGCCGAGAATTCTGTTGTATGATAACACGGGCGCGCTTCTACTGGATGCGGATGGGTTTAGCGAGCAAACATATCGGCCTATCAGCGTCCCAGATTGCAGGCGAAAACTTTCGACGGCCAATCATTACCAAAGGCTCCAACAGGCGCGACTTCCCGGCGAGTTCAATGGCCTGTGTATTAATGAGGCGGCTCTAAACGATACACCCACACCCGTAATCCCATTTACGAGGCAGCAGATTGCAGGAAGCTGTATTGACTTAAGTACCCATGAGTTGCCGAATTGGCAGCCGCACGAAATGGATAGTTCGCGTCGCTCGAGCTCGCTGCGAGGTGCTCGGCTTGAGATTCAGGATCACCGGCTAGACCAGCCACAGCAGCTAACACAGAAATCGACATATCCCACGCCGCCATCCACTTCGACGCTGACCACGACAGCGAATTCGTCGTCTTCGGGACCACGTGAGAAGCGTCGTTATCGACGCTCTCACAGCTCTGGCCAGCGTTCAATACTGGAACGGTTTAGCATGACGCGCGGTCGGCACTCCTCCCCAGAGTATATCCAGGAACAGGTATTGGAGCATAAGCCGCGATACTATCTGTGCAGCAGTAAGGCCGGCACACTTGTAATCCAGGATGAGAGCTTCAATCGAGTGCGGCAGCGCCGCCGACGGCAGAGGAATTCCTCGAGTGAGAACGTGTTGGTGCAACAGAATAGAAGCCCCGCAGGTAGTGTCGTGCAGGTCACGTCGCACAAGCGTCACCAGCAACAGCTGCGCTGCCGGGAGGCGCTGCTTCTAACCTCAGACGAAGAAACACAAGCCCAGAGCCAAAGACAATCAGTGAGGCATTCGCGATGCCGGCATGCTAAACGAATTTCCGGCAACGATGGGACCACTCAAGGTGAGAAATACATTACATACATTACACTCTCTTCTTAATATGCAATTCTCTTCACCTCGTCTTTTTCTTAGAAATTATCAAAGTCGATACGGGAAACTGTATGCACCAAGCTGTCCCTTGTGCTACGCGACGATGACGTCATTAATGTAAATCCTTATATACACAAATATACAAAGACCGCCTGTTCTCTGCTCAACGGCAATTTTTTCTTGACTTGGTTTTTAAAGCCATGTGTGTGAAAATTAACACAAATTCAAGAACATACAAATAAAAAAAATCATGCAAAAAATCTGTCCTGACTAGAATATATATTTCTAATTACAAGTCTATCTCTGATATTATAGACCTGGTAAAAAATACATACTCTTTGTGAGCTCGAATTTGTTTCCTTTTGTTGTTTATTTTACCTATTTTACATAATTTCAAAATATTTTGAAATATGGAAAGGTCGCCAGAGCCATCAATATTTTACATAATGTTCAGTTGAAATGTATCTTTGTGGTCAGCAGGGGAAAAGTTTAGATAGTCCTTAGGCAAATGTCTTTATCTCGGAGAGTATAAGAGCTGGAAGCACTTAATGTGGAATGTAGGTTCCCGTATTCCGTATACTTTTGGCATCGGATACCAACTGCAGTAGGAAGCAGAGCCATGCGATATTTTTTATGTTTACATTTGGCTCCTCCGGACTATAAGCCTCGAAGGATTTCTTAAATTAATTTGGGGGTGAGTATTTGTGTTTTTTAGGATATCTGTATGTGTATAAAAGAAAGTTCTCTGGGTACAGGGTATTTTCTAGTCACTAGTTGTGCTATAAACAGAAAATTGTACAGTCTGTTGCACACACTGCTGTTGTACTCAATTACACATTGAATAGGGTATATTGGTTTTGTGCCATGTCCGCCTTTCTGATATTGATATACTCGTGTTTCCCTGCGTTAAAATTAAACGACTACTCCTACGGATGATGAAATGACAAGACGAAATACATACATACATATATGTATATATTTTAAACCTAGAACGCCCAAATTTGGAGGTAAGATTAACGATTAGGATGTTCGCTTGATATTGCTGCGTAGAAACTTTGCAGGCTTGCAACACCAATAGCGTGAGTAGCCCTAGCGTGCACAATCAGCTGCCTTTTGTTTAAATTTTGGCTGCTTAGATAATTAATAATTGCTAATTTATTATTTATTTAAAAATTCACCGATGAAAAAACAAGGGTAATCAAACCTGTATATAAATTTGAACTTGCTGAAGGTGTAAATTAGTTGCATATTTTCATGTTTTATAAACCAGCTGTTACTGTAATAGAACCACTAAAATATAGTTTATTTAAAATACAAATGTAAGCAAATATCGATTGAAATAATCGAATTCTTATCGGGTCGATTTGCATCTTTTCAATACTTCGTAGTAAAAGGTCTGGGTCTAGCAGCCTTGTAAGAAACTATTCAGTATTGTTGTTGCGAGGTCTCGCTAAATTTCAAAGCTGCAACGCTGAATGATGAA